CATACGGTATTTGTTTTTCTCTTTCTGACTTACTTCACTCTGTATGACAGACTCTAGGTCCATCTACCTCACTACAAAAAACTCAATTTCGTTTCTTTTTATGGCTGAGTAATATTCCATTGTATATATGTGCCACATCTTCTTTATCTATTCATCTGTCGATGGACACTTAGGTTGCTTCCATGTCTTGGCTATTGTAAATAGAGCTGCAATGAACATTCCCACCCCCTCTTTAGAGGTCTGAGGGAGAAAGGTGAAGGGCAAATCGGGGGTGGGTAGATTTCTGGAGTTTGTTCTAGGATGAGCTCTCAAACTTCCTGTCCCATCTCAGGGCAGCTTAGTGACAGAAGGGAGGGGTTCTCAGCAATGCCTAATGGAAAGGAGCCAACCTGGGTGCAAGTCAGCCTGTCTGTCCGGCGCCTGACTTGGTGTCATCCCAGAGCTGCTTTCCTCCCTCCCTCCCTCCCCTCTGATTCTTGGCACCCACACTTTCACTTTTGTTCTTTCCCTCATCTTCTGTTTTATGTTTTGGCCACAGAGGATGCAGATTTAAATCAAAAGTCCAAAGTTTAGATCATTCTGAAGAGATGCTGGGAGTGGTCTTGCCTTGCCATGTGTTTTATTAGGCTGCTCCCTGCCCTTTCCAGCATGGTCTAAAAGGCTCTGTGCAGCTGGGAAGAGTGATGGGGCTGCCAGGGTGCTGCCCAGAGACCCAGGCCTTCCTGATGACACTGCATTATGGAAAAACTGTAGTAACACTCTGCTTTTGAGCTTCCTCTTCAATCACCCAGGGGACTCCAGAGGGAGCGAGGTGGGGCTGGCTGACTGTCTCCCAGGCTGCCCCTGTCCCTGCACCCCAGCCGGTGTGTGTGTGGGGGTCAGGAGCAGCTGCTTCTCCCCATCACCTGTCTTGAGGACCGAGTCAGAGGTCCCGTGGGACAGATGAGGAAACTGAGGTTGGGGAGAGGCTAAGCCAATCTGCCAGCACTCTGGGCACACTCATTGTGTGAGGACACAGCCTGGGGGAGGATCTGGGTCAGAACCCCCAGTTCTGGCGCTAACAGTCCCCTGCTAACCCCACACGCCCCCCCACTTGCTCTTTATGTCTCTGTTTCTCCCCCCATAAGTCAGGTATCAATTTGACGTGAGGTTTATGGAGGAAGGTTACAGTAGAGACATGCTAGGTTCTCATCAAACCCATTTCCTCATCTTGCACACACAATTAAAGTAATCTCAGCCCCCCGACTCCATCTGGGTAGGGCCACAGGATGGGGTGTGAGGGCTGCCTTCTCCATGCTGTCTAAATTTCAGGACTGTGGTTGAAGATGGTGGTGTCACAGGATGGAAGGACCCTGGATCCCTGGATGGCTGTGTGGAGCAGAGACTCTCTGCCAACCCAAGTGGATCGAAATGTGAAGCCACTGATACTTGGAGGTTGTCTGAAAATAGTTATCCTCCTCTGACTACTGCCTGTGTGTTTCTCAGTTCAAAAAAGAAGAGAGCTCCCCAGTCTGGGGAAGAAAGGCTCTTGCAGTGTTCCAGGTGAGAGCTGGCAGTAGAGGCGGAAGGTTCAGAGGCCCTTTCTTTTTCGCAGGCTCAGCGGCCATGGCTCACGGGCCTAGCCACTCCGTGGCATGTGGGATCCTCCCAGACAGAGGCACGAACCCATGTCCCCTGCATCGGCAGGCAGACTCCCAACCACTGTGCCACCAGGGAAGCCCCCAGAGGCCCTTTCTAACTCTCACATTCTGGGGTTTCCCCATTTCCATCTTAATCTCCCTCGGTGCCCCGTACATCATCCTTCTGTGGTCAACACAGGCCACTCGCTGTGCCCTGAGCAGAATGCTTGATTCCCCGTTCCTGTGGTTGTTGATCCTTTTCCTGGAACACCCGCCCTTCTTGATCACCTTTCAGACCTGCCTCCCTTTCAAGGCTCAGCTTCACCTCTGTGGTCACCCCATGTGGCAGGGAGTCCTCACTGCCTCTGCTCTCCTGTGTGGCACTCTGCACTGCTAAGCAAACGGCCCCCATCCCCTGTTGAAGCACCCGTGACATTTTCACATGAGGGTCTTTACTCTCTCATTAAGTCATAAGGTTCTTAAGGATAACATCACAATCCTCACACTTCCTGGTTTCCTATAAGGCCCTGGCACCGTGCGTCAAGCACCAGGCACTCGGAAAATATCTTTTGGGTGGATGAATGGAGGGAAGGAAGGACAGATGAATGAAATCGCGAACAAATGAATGAGATACTTGGCCAGATTTCCAAGGGTCTCCACCATCTGGGCTCACTCCATCTTTCTGCTCACTTCTACTCCCAGCCACAAAACCCCCACCCTGACTGGGCTGGTCTGTCGACAGACTCACGAGCCTGCTGGATTTTTCCCTCCTTCCACTCCCCACCCCTCACCAATGCCCCAGCCCCTTCCCACTCCTGTCACCTTTCATGGCCCAGATGAAGTCTCACCTCCTCCAAGTTTCCGTGATGACTCAGCTCTCCGCAAACCTGTTCAACTTTATTACAGGATTGATCACCTGTACCATGTGGATTAATCCGCTGTATCATTAGGTATGTACTGTGTGGTTTGTGTCAGTTCATTTGTGTTTTTCTTGCCTCCTCAACTAGAATCTAAGCTCCCAAGAGCTGGATCATCCATAGCACTTAGCAAAGAGAACAGCAGGGAACAGCTGAGCAGGACAGGGCTGTGCTTACAGATTGCTGGGTACCTGGGGCTCCCTCACCCTTTTGCCATTTTTCAGTAAACTCAGATTGGAGAGCAAACACATACACACCCATCACTTTCTCTTCTCTCTGAATCTTTCTGTTCTTCTCCCTCTACCCAGATTTGCAATACTTGGGTGGACTCATTCAGCCAAGTTGCTGAATCTGCAAAGCCTCACACAAGCTTCCAGACCACAGTTGCCCCTCTGAGTCCAGGAGTCTAGGAAGAACAGTCTAAAACGGTAGCCAACTTTGTCCCTTGCAGCAAACTGCACTATTGTTGGTGATATCTTCAGGAGGAGGAGAGAATCATTTGGACTGAACCTCAGAAGATTTGCAGAGGAGGAAAAAGGCTGCCCATGAAGGGCACCGTGGGGTAAAGGGGTAGCGGGTCATCACATCGGCAGGAAGATGGAGCCAGCCACGGAGAGCAGTTGCAGCATGGTTAGCCACATGGGTGGCCAGTCCGAAAAGACTTAGATTCCAGCTGACATTCCCCTCAGCCTCAGGCAGCTCCCACAGTACAAAAGGCAGAGAATGGGGACAGAAATCAGAAGCTCAGCCAGGGAGCTTTGGACTTGGTTGATGTGGTACCAGGTTCTCAAGCAAGGAAGTGACCCAGAAAAAGCAGTATATCAGGCTCCCTTTCATCATTAGCAAATCTTTTGTTTTCGGCTGACTTCCTTTTGCCACTCAGCGTGCTTTGACTCAATTCTCCACCATGGACGCAGGGCATGCAAATCACTCACATCTTTACCTCGGCCAAACATGAGTAGGCAAGTCACCTTGCTTGGAAATCCATATAATGTAAACTAAAATTAAACAAAAGTTTTTATTGTGCAGGCACTCTTTCCTTCTATTGGTGTGGATTTTTTTTTTTTTTTG